GTTCAGTTCGGCGATTCTTTCTGGGACCTACCGCGCGCGGTCGAATCAGATCGCCCTGCAGCTGAAGGAGTGCACAGTGGAAATGTTCGCCGCTCGCAGTGTGCGTCGACGCTGCGATCTGCTCAACGCTAAGCCTATTCCCACAGTTCATCGCCGTCGGACGAACGACTCTAAAAGAAATCGCCGAAGTTCTCGCTATGCACTGGACATCAATGTCATAAATTTCATTCCGCGATAGCATTGATAAAAGGTGCCGTTTCCACGGGACGACTGAAGGAGGCTCCGTAATCGAATTTGGCTACGCAACTCGTACTCGTAGCCTTTGTAACCCGCAGAAAAGCGTGCTTGACGAGGTAGCTCTGGCTTGGTTTAATCTGAAATAAAATGATTGGATACTTTTTCTTTTTTAATATTTCTTTCCAGGAGCATGGTTGCGCTATAAGCACGCGGAATTCTACGGCTCTAGCAAATTTAACCAAGATCATGCGCGGTGTTCGCTCGAAAACGTAACGCACAACTAAATTTGGTCTGAGCAGGTCATTTTTAGCGTACGCTATACTACTGCGTATTGCGTACGTAAGATCCAGCAACGCTATACTAAAACTGACTATTATAATGTACGCTAGAGGTTCAACTGCGCCAGAGTTTGTGCGACTTCTGGAAGTCACATTGAAGTAGACAGCAACCAGTCTACTTTTGCGGTGCTCCCGTGCATTCCTGGGAAAACGCGCGTGCATTTTTTCTCTTCGCCAAAAATAACACGGAACACTTTGTGGCGAGTATGTGTGTGTCTGTGTTAGTGTGCGTCTGTCTGCCTGTGTGTGAGTATGTGTGCCTGTGTGTGTCAGTGTCTGCGTGTGCGTCTGTCAGTACCTGTGTGTTAGTGTGTAGGAGTGCCTGTGTGTGTCGTTCTTACTCTGTGTGAGTATGCGTCAGTGTGTGGCTATGCGTGAGTGTGTTTGTCAGTGTGTGTATGAGAATGTGAGCATGTGCGTTCGTCCGCGTGATCGTGTGTATATCTGCGTGAGTGAGTGTGTGTGCATGTGTGAGTGCGTGTCTGTCTGTGTACATGCTTGTCTGTTTGTATGCGAGTGTAAGAATATATTTATGAGGATGTGTGTGTGTGTGTGAATGTGTGTCGTTTATGTGTGAGTGCGTGTATCTCTCAGTGTTTGTGTGTGTGTGTCTATGTGAGTGTGTCGCCGTGAGTCATGAGAGAGCCTCACCCAACATCTCAGGTAACAAGGTCATGGGCGTTGATTGGACACGAGTGTTACGTCAGCGTTCGGCTGGGACTCGTGTCCAATCAGCGAGGACACCAGTACCGGCCGAACGCCGAAGCAGCGCTGGTCTCCAATCTCTGACCCAAGCTGGACTCAGGCAGGTGACGTCACACACACAGCACCACGACCTTGTTTTCTTGGAAGGTGTTGCCTCGTGACTCAGCCGACGCTACGAGCCAACGTTACTAGAACCACTCAGTTGGGAAACTGCCATAGAGACTGCTCTGAGAAAAATTGGCCCCGAACTCCCCTCGAAAACCGAGCTAATGGCGATCGCAATGCCGCCATTCCAGGAACTGCAGGTTGCTTCTATTTTGGCTTTAATCGACCATTTTGGCGCCGAAACAGATACAGCGGAAAGAGGTTACAGGGGTGCCACCCCCGTCTCCCCAGCGGACGCGCCGCGACTTACTACCGAAACTAATATGCGCCTAGGTCGGGACGCGCTACCTGAAAGCACCGCTGAGGCATGGTTGTATAAAAACAATATTAATTGTGCCGGAAAACCTTGCAAACTAAAGATTTTAAAAACATCCCGCGCGTTTCATTTTGTACTAAACTCATATAAATTTCATAAGAGTTTTTTTCCGTTGGTTTTTTACGCAAAAACATGCGTCTGAAAGTTCAAGGTGGCCACAGTGAAGAAAAATGACAAAAAGTGGCGCTGTTGTTGTATTTATCTTAGAGTTCCTGTATAGGCTCCCTACACTACCGTAGGTAGCATATACAGGAACTCTAATATATCTCAGTCTCGGTGGACGCCAGCGGCCCCAGTTTCAACGGTGAGTTTCCCAACTGAGGGTTGTAGTAACGTTGCTACGAGCTACAAGCAGCGTGAAAAGTGCGAGTCAATCGGTATTTTTTGTTTACGATTGGCTCAGCAATGATAGAACACGTACTGAAACATGACGATGGTGCATTAGACGCTGTCTGATTTCTCCCAGCCGCTTGTAGAGTCGGCTGCATATGGACGTAAGGCGAAACGGAGTATAGAAGAGCGGCAAGCAAAAACTATAACGCTCGCAGATAGGTCAAGTGGAGCTCGTCAACGACAGTTTGTTTTCGTTACGATTGAGGGGTCACGAACTTAACACGAGAGGCGACGTTTGCGAATAAGCGGCACCGGCTGTAGAAGACATAGTTTCTGTTTCTCCTGCGACACTTCTAGGGGCGAAGCTCCTTAAGCGCGAGACACATGGACGGCAGAATCGTCCGATCCGACGTCCGATCCGACAGTCCGAACGCCGCTCCGAATCGCCGTACGGTATACAGTTTGAGACACACGCTTCCGACCTTGCATGCGACACGACGATCCGTTCGGCTCCGCCCAGGAGATCCAAGCACTCCAGCGGAGGTCCGCGTTCGTAGATCTCTGGTCCCAGATTGACAGTTCAGCTCGCACGAGCGAAGTTAGGAGCTTGTTCTCGCTAGCGCGTGGATTCTTTGCCGGGGCCATCTTTTTCGAATGGGTCAGCGGGATCCACGCGTCCGGCTTCCCGTCGCCCGTCCCGCCAGACCCAGTACGTCATCATGACGTTCGCGCTACCTGTGCTGTCATTGGCTGGACGCATCCGACAATCCGTCCGCCGTGCGAAACTATCTGGCGCGTTGGACGGACGTCGGATCGCGACCAAATTTTTCGGATCAGGCAGTCGTATTGCCGGATCGGACGTCGGATCGGATGAATTTTGCGCGCATGTATCTCGCGCTTAGGGTCTAGCCTTGTCCGTCCGTCCGTCCGGCCGGCGTCCGTGCTCAAATAAAAAGAAAAAAAAAATGTTTACGCAGTCCACAGGATTCGAACCTGTGCGGGGAGATCCCAATGGATTTCTAGACCTTAACCACTCGGCCACGACTGCGGTACCAAGTAGGGGGCTCTGAGATGGGGTAGTAACTCAAGAGCTGGGGTTTCTCTCATGGATGAAACGTTGCATGTAGCCGCTCAACGTCTATACAGGAGAGGGTGCTGCGGTCAAACGCGTATATAATCGCGTTAAATTTTGTAAGCATTGGCTCAACGTTTATAGACGAGAGGGCGCTGCGGTCAAATGCTCAATTCCATACCACACATTCTCCTCTTTCTGACATAGACCGTTGACTTAAGCGGTGGAGATGCGTTCCCACGGCTTCTAGCGGATCCAAGCTGACCCGCTAGAAGAACCACTGGCTCTGCATTTCACCGATGAAGTCGAAACGGAACCCGGAGCTCAGCACTACCTATGAGCACTACCTATGAACAATAAAATCAGTATCATCAGCACCACCAGAGCTTCGCCCCAATCAACATCATTCACCACGTAAGGTTGCGGTCTTTTTTTTTTTTTTTTTGCGACGAACACACGGCGAACACCGATCAGACTGCCCCAAAAAGAATTATCGTTTTGTCGGTGAACACACACCAGTTTGTTGCATCTAGGAGGACTATGTAACAAAAAAGAAAAAAAAAATATATAGACCCAAACGACGCTATCTCGAATTGTAATTAAAAATGATAGTAAGCAGATAACCTATTGTTTCAAGATCTTTATTTACAAGAAGTCTCTGAAAAAGTAAAAAAAAAAGGAATCAGTAACATAGAGTGTATTTTTTACCACACACATAAACTAGGGATCAAGGAAAGCTCAGTTTCCGCCCCAAATGTAGCGCTAGCGGTTCGACCACATGCCCAAGGGGTTCGGAACTAACTATTCTCTAATTCAGAAGGGCAACGGCGATTTTGGGAAGTGGCCAATGGGAAAATGGTAGCTGACGAAGCCCAGAAATAAACGCGGATAAGTGGTTTCAGCTATAGGGATTTTGGCCCTATTTTCCGATCAATTATTTCGCAAAACCTCTTAAACGTTCGAATAAGATTACTTTTAGTTCCGACACCTTGGCTTCCAGTCCAGACCGCTAGCGTTATATTTCGACGGACGCTGAGCCTTCAGCGTTGAGTAATACATTTTTGCAATGAAAAAAAAAAAAAAAAAAAACGAAACACTATTTTTGTTTTATAATGGAACAGCGCGAATGCTACAGGGACAAAGGAAGGAACTGGACAGGACGAGCGCAGCGCTCGTCCTGTCCAGTTCCTTTTTCTGTCCACGTAAAATTCGCGCTGTTCCATTATGAATACATACCAACTCGCCCAGCTATCCTGTTTGCTAAGACTTTTTTTTTTAACGTGTTTTACGGCGTAAAGGTGTGCTCTTTCTGCCCTGTTCTGAACAACAAACAGAAGGAACGCGCGACGGAAAGTTCTCATCCCAGAAACGCGCGGCAGTCCTAAAGCGACAAGCTCAGGTCGGGTCAAATCAACCCAGCGAGGATTCATCATCGAATCCAACGACGCGCCCTGCGGCTCTGCACGAACAAACCCCGACACGAACTACGCAGGAACGAACTATGCAGGCGAGCTGAAAAGGAAACATCTTCATCTAAACAAGGAGACAAGGAGAAATAAAATAACCGACAAGACGACACAAAATCTCAACAAGATTTCCTGTCGTCTTGTCTGTTATTTTATGGCTCCTTGTCCCAGGGTTTAGAACTTTTAGATCATAAAGTAGCGAGCGACGCAGCCTCGGAGAGGAGGACCGCTGAAAAGAGGCGAGGAGGCAACTGTAAGAAAGAAGAGTGCGAGGAAGCAAAGCAAGGCGAGAACGAGGGGGGAGCGAGAAAAAGGGGTGCCACGTGACGCACCGACGTCACCGGTCTCGTTTTCGTCCGTACCCGACCTTGACGCTGCCTGCTGCCGGTGCGCCGGCGGATGGACCCGTATAAAAAAGGGAAGCCGCTCCGACGAACGAACTTGGCTGCCGCCCGTCGGTCTTGTCGGTCCTTGCCACTACTTCCGCTCCTGTTTTTGTGCTCTCTCTTTGCGCGTCTTATTCAACGTGTGCCGCGCCGATCGTTACGGCAAGGCGTGCCGTAAGTGCCGCTCGCGACACTGCTTGTTTGCTTTACCGTCGACCGCGCGCTCTTCCGAAAAGGCACGATGCCCGTGCTACGACCAGGGGACGACGTGTTCCAGGAGCACGAGTGTACGGTGACCCGTGGCCTCCTCGAAGACTTTCGCCAGAGGATGATCGACGAGATGACCGAGGAGAACGCGGGTGAGTCATTGAGCCCCGGTGCGCCGCTTGCACTTTCGTCGCTCCTGTTGCGTGAGCGACGTGGTGCGGGGGCGGGCGTCAGCTGATCGGAAACTTGCACGACGTTATCGCTCACCGCCTGTTCTTCAGACACCGGGAACTGCGCGGTGGGACGGTGTCATCGGTTGCCGTTTTGTACGGACACGTTCGTTGGGATCGCTTTCAGCTTAGTTGCATTTCTTGATGGATGGGTAGAGGAAGGAATCCGAATACCTGCAGCCGGAGCGCGCGGGACACTCCCGTGATGTTCTGCGATTCTTATGTTTGGCGTAATCGAGAGAATCGGGCTTTAGTCTGTCGCAGCTAAAGTTCGGGAAACACGCGGTTGGTGTATATATATTTCGACGTTTATCCCATAACTGGAGTGCGTGATAAACCACCCTCCCGCCTGCGTTCACGCCGCTTCGCCCCCACAGACTGTCGCCGCTTCGCGACGACAGTCTGTGGTGGCTCATTACAAAAATGCTAATCCACCTGATTCGCCCGTGAACGCTGCTTCGCGGTGACCGACCATTCGCTAAAGTGTTCGCTAAAGTCGGCGTTCGCTAAAACGTCGTTAGACGAACTGAGTCGCACCCCGCTTACACAAGGTGTCCAACACGTCCAAGGAGTTGGCTTAAATGTCCCCCCGATTGTTATGGCGGGACTAGCTCTCTGACTTTTCATGATTATTTTACCATAATAAAGTGATACGTCCTCCGAAGACATCGAAAATGTATAATACAAAACTCACGGCACTCTGTTCGACATTTAAAGGAGCGGGTGCAATTAAGGAAGGTACAACGTGTCCGTTGAACACAAGGCAGATATGAGGGCGGTTGTTGCTATCAGAGGCGTCGGAGCTACCGAGAGATGGGGCGAGAGAGGTACTCACCGTCGTACTGAACTGGAGCAAATGCTAAACCCACCCTTGGCATATTTTGGTCCTCCTCATGGGATTGTGAGTCTGCGCTCCTGTCGACTTATTTCTCTTCTTTATGTCTCAATTACATCATCGTTGTATGTCTTCAAGGTTTCCTTTTTTTTTTTGCATTTAAGTTTTACCTGTGTTCCAGTTATGTAGGATTTTTATTGTAAGTACCGTACACGATGTAAGTACCAAACTCCAACTAGGGCTGGGTGTAAATTAAATATTTCAACCCGATTAATCTCTACCCTCCAGTCGATGAATCGGTTGCGTTGGATTTCAGGCATCCAAAAAGTGCCGATCTGCCAACTTTTTAAAAATATTTATTACTATGTCATCCGTGGCGAATTGTGCCACTTGATTCGGAACTTAACACTATACCACACAAAAAAAAAAAAAAAAAAAAAAAAAACAGGCAGGCCATTTAAAAAAAAAAAGAAGATTGATATATATATTTTTTTTAATTCTTTGTATTTGATTTTAGGGAATGCTACAGCGTTTTTCCGGGGAATACTACAGTGCCGCCCCCGAAAATACATGAATATGCACCAGTAGTAAAGCAAACATTTTTACTTACCCCCTCCCCCCTTTCCCAAATCTCTAACTAAACACTCGACCGATTAGCCGGTTAAAAAACAGATCGCGATTAAAGCGGTAATCAGGAAGTTAATCGATCGATTGCCCTGCCCTATCCATTGTATAATTCTAATGGTGTTTGTGCAGCCCCAGCTCCGTTACAGCCATGTCTCGTGAATTTGGACCCCCCGTTCCCCATAAAGCACCGTCCCTAGAAAAAAATCGTAAGGGTGCAGGCGAGCTGGTGAATAGTAACCGTGTTGAATTGACCTGAGACTGGGGTAGAGAAGAAGCATCAAAACGTAGGAGAGACAGAAAATACGGAGGACGACGTCTCGTTCGAGACGTCGTCCTGTCTATTATCTGTCCCTTCTACGTTTTGGTGTTTCTTCTCTACCCCAGTCTCAGGTTAATTCAACATTGTTACCGTCCCTAACTTGAGTCGTCCATAAAAATTGATACAAACTTAAGTAGACAATGGGAGTGGCCCCAAACGTCGCGGTTTAGTTGGTCCAGAAGTTAGAAGATTTTGATACGAATAAAATAGGACGAGGGAGTAATACACGCGCTAACTTTGGTCAAAGTTGGCGCTGAGAATCACGTGAGCATGATTCTAAAGCGGAGGCGAACGTACGGCAAGGGGACGAACACACACGTATCGAACGCAGCCGAATAGATTTCAATCGCGCACCATGCTTTATATACGCTACACACTCACACGACCCCAGGCGAGTTTGCGCACGTCCCCAACGTCACGCCCACCCTAACACAGCCAAAGGTACGAAACCCGGACTTGTCTAACAATAGCCGTCTCAAAACCAACTAAAAAAAAACGTTTCAGGTTTGGTACATTGAAGTTACTTTCTGAAGGGAGAACGGATCTTGCGGGGGCGCTGGGCTTTATGATAAAGCAAAAAAGAAAATGTGGCGAAGATGGAAGAATGGATGGAGACGGAAGGGATTACAGTCACAAAAAGGAGGTAAAACTAACTAGCACAGCTGGAGACAGGCGGGACAGAGGAAAATTCGGACTCCCGCCCTCGTGGCTCCAGTCCACAGTTTCAAACATGCGCAAAGACAGCAGAAAAAAAGACACGCACACATGCAACCAAGTGTTTATGTAATCCACTCCAAAAAGTGCTTGTGCAAAAAAAATATATATATGTACTTAGACATTCTATAGTTAAATTTCTTGTCCAAAACGCGAACACGTCTTCTTGCGGGGTTTATTCTGTCGGCTCTACGCCTCCCAAGCGTAGACTTTATCTTCCAAACGAGCAGGCAAGAGTCATGCACATGACCAGCGAGTGCTCTCCAGATGTATCAGACCGCGGACAATAGTAGGCAGAAAAAGGGGGCTTTTTGTCCTGCAAGCCTGGAAAACCCCCACCCATTGTTCGGTGTGCATGTCTTCCTTTCAAGACGGGCAAGGAACAACCGGCAGCTATAAAGCTCTCGGTGCACTCTCTGACCCAAAGGCCTCAAGTGTCTTCTTTCTTTTCTTTTTTTTTTTTTTCTTTTTTAGTTCTTAAATATTTTTAAAATTTATTTATGTGGAGGGGAAGTCGTCAGGTTCTTGCGCAGGAGTTACGGTGACGTCAGGACGACGACGGGATCTGATGGGCTTTCATTGAAAGGAAAATGGTGGGATTGGCATCAATGCTAGATGCCTCGATGCCAATCCGCCAATGAGAACTTGGAGTTCTCACATCATTGCAAGAAGCAAGTGCGAGAAGCAGACGATCTTCCGCTCCGCATAATAATGAGAAACCATTTGTCCCTAATAAGGAGACAAAATCGGTCGCCCACCAGTCACCTAGCTGTGTTTGGATATCAGGAATTATGTTCGTCATTCTCGTCCAGCTCGCTCGCACCTTTGCATTTAAGTGCATTATAATAAAAAGAATCGCATCTATTTACCCAATTCGTTCGTTCCGGGCTAAGGAAGGGGGGGGGGGGGGGGGGGGGGGGCATCTGAATCGGGCGGGACTCTCTTTATTTATTTATTTTTTTTTTAATTTGCCTCTGGTTTGTTTTCCAACTAATAGTAGCGAGATGTTTCGGTGGCGCCCTCTTATGGTTTCCTTTCCCGACGTCACGACCAGGATTTGCCTCACCGGGGCACCGGACATTTCATCGAACGCCGTTTCATCGAACGCCGTTTCATCGAATAAGTGGACCTTTCATCGAACGCCAATTCATCGAACACCCTTTCATCGAATCGCTTGACGCCGTTTCATCGAATTTTACTTCACCAAATTTTGGAGCATCATAGTGCGTTTGGTATCATTTACTCTCTCTCTCTCTCTCTCGTCCGAGTTTCGACGCTGCTGTCGAATCACCAGAAATCAAATTACTACCCTGGTCACTATTTCACCGAAAATTTGATTACTGAATCATAGAACAAAAGTTGAGTGGGTAGTAATTAGTGTTCTTTGTTTCCAGGTAAGATAAGCGGCTGTTATCCACCAGATGCTTTGCTTCCTATTTGTTCGAGCCTAAAAGAAAGACCCAGAAAGGGATAACTATTCTCCACTACGCCTTTTGTCAATTTATGTATTTACTTGATTTTTCATTATATATCCTAGGAAAATAGCTTGCTTTCTAAGAATAAACGCTGAAAAGCCGGTAAGTTCACGATTCTGCCGATGACGAATTGTGAACAAAGAATACACGCTTTTTTTTTTGTTTTTTTTTGTTATATGCAACATGGATACATGTCATTGCTTCAAGGGCGACTTTGCGCTTTAAACAGAATACGTCTCTTCCAGAACGTGGATACAACCTTTAAGGGACGTACCTTCGTCAATGTATCCTATGATCGCAAGTTTCATAAAATGTCAAGGCGGTGTTCCCGTTCATTATTGGATACATTAGCAGCACAGGTCATCAGTTACTACGAAGGAAAAAAAATGTCTAGCGGAGAAGATAGTTTTTATTATTAGTTACCCTCGCTCTTTGTAAAAAAAAAAAAAAAGGTTTGCCAATCCCTCTGGTCAAGACAACTATTTCCTAGATTCAAAGTTACTACTGCTTAACGGTGTTCGATCAAACGGCTTCGATGAAACGGCGTCGCTAATACTCGTTTTCACACCAAGACAAAAAAAAAAAAGCGTTTTGCGCGTTTCTTGTTTGCTGCACGAAATAGTTAAAAGTTTGGTTGTTGAAGAAAGAATCGATGCTTTTGGCATTTGAAATGTGTACGTCTGGATAAAAGAACGTAAAGCTAACCTAAGGTTTTGTGCGCTTCCTTCAGAGCATAAAAGGGGGACATTTGTAACGTTCCGCAAAACGCCGGACCCTTTTTTTTTATTATTATTACGATTTTTGTTAACTGTAGGACAAGTTGGTGCTGAATCTTTGAAAACGTGGTCGCTAATTAGACAGGCGAGGTTCTCTGTTCTTCCCTCTTGTCCGTGTAAATGGGCGCAAGCCGCGGAACCATATTTTCAAAGATAGCTGCCATGATGTGCGGAAA